ACATGATTACGGGTAAACATGAATTTACGGGTGAAAACCTTTCCCAGAGTGATTTGGACCCAGTTTAATAAGGAAGGAAATCAGAGAACACAGCGTTACTGGCACATTGGGTGTCAGTAACAGTGAAGAGATGGCCGAGCGGGATGAAGTGCACGGTGGAGTCGGAGGAGGTCCGGAGGAGAACGAAGTAATGGCTATGATGAAGGCGATAAGAATGGCACGCGACGGAAACACCCAGAAGGGGACGATGCGGTGATCAACGGACTCCGCACCTTATCCCACGTTGTCTGAAAGCAGGCGCAGCCAGCTGCAACTAGGCCTACCCAGTTGTGTGTAAGAGGGAAAGGGGTGTCCCTAAACCGGCCGCAAAGGGTTGGCAACTACGCATGTTTTGCTGGGGAATGGGGTGATCCGGCTACGAGGGGACGGCACCGCGGCGGAGAGGTCATTGCTTCGAGGTTTAAACCTAAAACCCTAAAACCCTAAATTTAGCTCAGCACGGTTTATTACCACCGCGGGTTACTGCCAGGTGACCAGCTGGAGCCCAGAGGTCATTGCTTCGAGGTTTAAACCTAAAACCCTAAATTTAGCTCAGCATGGTTTATTACCACCGTGGGTTACTGCCAGGTGACCAGCTGGAGCCCACCGAAGCGCCCGGACCGCCTTGCGCTCATCGGGTAGCAACTAGACTCTGGAAGTCTGCCCAATAACGAGTGCCCACGGCTGATAGGCTTTACCCGGGTGATGCTCTCAGGGAGAGAAGCGTCCGGGTTGCGTTGTGCTGCTCCGAAAGGCCCCAGGGGGTGCGTGGTAAAGCACCCAGGCTGAGTTGCCTTAGGCCGGTAGACTGGGTCGCGTTTATCTGGAAGGCCAGCCCCAGGGGGTATGCTCTCGCGCAGTGAAGCACTGAGGCAGAGTTGCTTTAGGCCGGTAGACTGGGTCGTGTTTATCCACAAGGCCAGCACCAGCAAGGTTTTGCTCTCGTGCAGTGAAGCACCCAGGCGGAGCTGCCTTGGGCCGGTAGTTTGCGTTGCGTTTATCCACAAGGCCAGCACAAGCAGGTTTTGCTCTCGGACAGCGTAGCACCCAGGCGGAGCTGCCTTGGGCCGGTAGTTTGTGTTACGTTTATCCGCAAGGCCAGCCCCAGGGGGTATGCTCTCGTGCAGTGAAGCACCCAGGCGGAGCTGCCTTGGGCCGGTAGTTTGTGTTGCGTTTATCCACAAGGCCAGCACAAGCAGGTTTTGCTCTCGGACAGCGTAGCACCCAGGCGGAGCTGCCTTGGGCCGGTAGTTTGTGTTACGTTTATCCGCAAGGCCAGCCCCAGGGGGTATGCTCTCGTGCAGTGAAGCACCCAGGCGGAGCT